ATGGGAATACCAAGTTCTTTCACAGTGTGAATTGGTAAGATGTTCACTGAGGATCCTCCATCAACAAAAATTTGATTTACCCTTTCATTACACATATAGCCGACCAGGTACAACGGGCGGTTATGAAGTGTGTCACCTAGTAGCAGATCGTCATTTGTGAACGTAACTTTTTCCTCGCACGCGTTAACTTCTTGAGGAATACACTCGATGAGCTTTTCTAAAGATGCTGCCAACGGTAGATCATCACTCTTTTCTTCCCCTTTGTCAGCATAGCAACAAGAGGCATCAATACCCTCATAGGAAATCTTCGTGCGGAACCAACTTGGTAAGAACTCCTCCAAGGTAACTGGATGTCGTGGCTTTTGATGATGGTGCACCTCCACTTTGGTTTTCTTCAAATGCTTAACTGGATTCCATCCCCTTGGTCTTTTCACCATCATTTTCCTTGTTGGTTGTTCTATTGATTCTTTTTCGTGGGCTCCTTTTGTGGCGCCTACGGTGAGTCACCAACGTCCAACCTTCATCATCATCATGGTGGTCTACTTCGACTTTGTTATTCTCCAATAATTCTTCATTTTTGATTTATTTTAACTTGCATAACTCATCTAAATTGAATCAGCCAAAAGGTGATAGAGACTTGGTTGCACTTGCCTTCTCATCTTCAAGCACGATCTTCTTTTCACAGGCCAAGTCCATAACTTTGTCCTTGAAGACAAAGCACTTTTCCAGATGGTGGCTTACAAGTCGGTGATATTTGCAGTAATTTGGGTCATCAGCTTTCCAACTTTATTTGGCCGTTTCATCTCCAGAAGCTCAATGAGATTTAACTTGAGGAGTTCTTAAAAAATGGCCGGCACATCCGAATCCAGAAATGGGTACTCTTTCGCTTGAATTTCTATTAGACTCAACTTTCCACTTGGCTTCTTGAAAAGAAGTGGATTTCATACTCTGCTTCTTACTCACCTTCGTCGTGAACTTCAAAGGTGATGTGTTGACATTCATAGCTTCTTTGCTTTCAGACTTGTGTACAAACTTGCCCCACTTTCTGACTTCTTGCTTGTCATTCCCTTTGCGAGGTTCATAGATGGGCAGCCTTTCATTTCTAGCGGAGGCCATGCTCAATTCCATGTCATGGCACGAGTTGCAAGTTCTTCAAATGTGCTAGGCTTGAGACTTTGCAAGATGTAGCGCAATCCCCAATGCATGCCTTGGATGCACATCTCTATGCCAGAAGCTTCACTAAGTATGTCTTTACAGTTGAGGTTTGCATTCCTCCAACGATTGATAAAGTCGATAACGGGTTCATCCTTCCGTTGACGAGTATTTATGAGTTCCACCATGCTCACAGTGCGCCTTGTGCTATAAAAGCGATTGAGGAACTCTTGCTCTAGTTGATCCCAGCTATCAATAGATCCCGCCTCGAGGTATGTATACCAATCAAAAGCATTTCCTTTTAGCGAGCGGACAAACTGCTTGACGAGGTAATCTCCATAAGTCTCAGTGTTATTGCATGTCTCAACGAAGTGTGCCACATGTTGATTTGGATTGCCTTTACCATCAAACTATTGAAACTTTAGAGGTTGATAGCCAGCAGACATCTTCAACATATCGATCCTTGTAGTGTACGGCTTTGCATATGTAAGGTAGGACTTGGCAGCAACTTCATACTTATTCTTAATAGTTCCTTCAATGAACTTCTTCAGTTGATCGATTGGAATCATCCCTTCAGATGAGACAGGTATAGCCTTAGCGGATGCTACTCGTCTTAGGGGAGAATCAATCTCTAGAACTTCTGGGAGCTTGCCAGGTGGATGGGTGGATTCTTCTTCCATCAAGATTCCCACCCTGTCTGTTAGCTTGTCAGTTATAGCATCTTGATTTTGCATGCACTTGGTCAAGCCAGCGATTGCTTCTGTCAAGTATGCCAACTGCTCTTCCACAGATGAAGTGTTTGTCACCATGGCTTGCATGATTGTTGTAGATGATGGGGAGTAGCATGGATTGTCACACAGATTGATTCTCGAATGGATCACGCTATGCGGTGTAAGTGGGGAGGATCTATCACTTGAAGCATCATCATTTTCCTTCACAGCAGAGTTCTTGGATCCGGAGAGGTCAAGCAGAGCAAGAGTTTTCTTGATTTTTTCAGTAACATCGCTTCCTCTTTCGGGTGCGCTTGTGGAAGATCTTGCTCCTTTTGAGGATGAAAATTCGAAAATAGGGGTTGATGCGGACGGCACTTAGAGTGCTTGTTGTCCTAAAGAGCTTGCTTTGCTCCTCATAACTGGTCTGAAGCTTCCAAAGGTAACATCGAGGATGTATTCCACATCAGCATAGAACCTGGAGTTAGCAGCCTTGGTGGATGTTGATCTGGACTTGATTTTCTTTGAAGCCATTTCGACGTTCTTGGACTTTGGTGATTGAAAAGTTGAGATGAGAGGTAGATACTGTTCCACTGGGCGTGCCAGAATTTGTAGACAATAAATTGCGTCAAGAAAATAATTGAGACCGAAAATTATCGCAACAATCCTAGTATTTGATTTCAAATGATTTGAGTGTACAATCTCTATGAATCCTCTGATTCTTCTTTCCAATAATAAATAAATTCAAGGGCCTACGAGCTTGATCTTGAATATGTAGTTGTTGCCACGAACGATGATCTTGAATTCAACTAGCACGAACTTTGACTTGAACTCGTACTCCTTGAATCTTGATTTGTACTTCGTTCTTGAGCTTGAACTTGATCTGTTCTTGGTTCTTGAGCTTGAACTTGATTTCTTGATCTTGAACTTGATTGCTTGAGGCTTGAGGCTTGTGAAGGAATTTGCAACGTTTAGTCCACGAGCTCTTTCTTGCTTCTTGTTATAACTTCTGGTGTCTTTTCTGTGTTATGAAGACACTTATTTATAGTTGTGGGAGGGAAGAGTTATGATAAGAACAAACTTTTTTCGACCAATCAAATTGAAGTGTGACAAGGCCGCATTTGATTGGCCAGAACATGTCACTTGCACACGCGGCGTGGTTTTATTGGCCTTTTAATGTGACTTGGCATGCCTTGTCATTTTAACCTGTGGCATGATCCTATTGGCTCTTCTGCTTGACTTGGCGTGCCACGTCATATGACACGTAGCACCAAACTTTAGCCCAATAAGATGACATTTTGGGCTTAATGAAGTGAGCTCAACACTTTAGCCCAATTAGATGGGCTAGCTCAATGAATTTGAACTTATTTATTTAATCCATATGTATTGGACTTATATAATTAATTCAATTATATTAGCCCATAATATTTATTTGGACCAATATATCTTGAATTTAAAATATAGTCCAACTTATTTTATGAATTTAATTTTAATAAAAATTATATGCCTACAGTGCCTTAATCATAAGAAAACTATGATTATCTTATTCACATATATTCTTATTAAATTTATGATCAATGCTTTTGTAATAATTTATCAGTAACTTTAGCAACTCAAATTCTAGCAATCTTGTTGCTACACAATTAGCCCAGCCTAATAAAATTTGTGAAGAAAATGTCATGAAACTTTGCCCCTCTTTCCGCCTTCATACTATGGCATTTTCATGTAGTGGAAGAAGTGATATCTATTGCTAGAAGCACTATAGCATTGGTTAATGTTTATAGAGTGTAACCTATCTCTGTCATAATTTATATCCTTCATTTGATAAGTGAACTTCCTTGGAACTGGATTTTCTCAGGTAAACCAGTTCATGAATATAAAAGTTCAGTAAAGTTGGAAAAAACTGATACGGCTGTGGAAAAAAAATAGGGGAGAAAAAAAGTTTTAATATGTTTATTAATGGACAAGTTATTAATTATCTAAATCATAGTTAGGGCTTTATTTTAGTCGGTTAATCTTAGCCATTAATTTTAACTTATGACATATGTCGCTAATCTAAGTTAGAACTTGGGGAAAATGAAGAGGAGTCGGATCCCCGAACAAATATAGTTGGATTTATAGTGCTCGTGGAAAGCTTTCGGTATATATTTTTTTTATAGAAAAGACAAACATTAAGAAAAACTTATTTATTAGGGGACATAAATCCTATTCCCTCCGTTCACTTTTACTTGTCCACTATTGACTTTGCACACCCTTAAGAAATAATAAATAAAGTGCGTAATTTACCATGATACCCATATTAATTCGTGTATAGTCTTAGTGGATTTGAAAAATGATTTGGAATGAGTAATTACTATTAAGGGGCAAAATAGGAAAAATATATTATTTTTTCTCTTGATATGCGAAAAGTGACAAGTAAAAATAAAAATTTATTTTTAGAATACTTGACAACTAAAAGCGAACGGAGGGAGTAACTTCTTAGGGGTTGTTTGGCTGGTGGAATAAGGAATAACAATCTCGAAATAAAATAGGAAATTATTTCCTCTCGTAAAAGCAGGGACAACTAATCCCATATATCATTGTCTATCACACCCTGATAACGAAACGATTCCGTAAATAAAGCTTCGATAAGGGGTGAACAGCTTCACCCCTTTACAATTGAAGAGTTTGATCATTACAAGATCCTATACTGACAACTATCCAGAAATAGACTAAACTAAATCTAATAACAAAATTAAATGAGGGTATTCCTCCTTTACAATGTGAGCTTTCAAGAAATCATGAACGATGTAAAAAAATATTCTTATTTTTGGAATAAGCAGTTAGAAACAATGTAAAAATTCTACAAAATGGAAGTTTTAATGTCAACGGTCAACTAATGACACTTTTGACTGTGTCTTCAGGACGGACAATTTCTATCTCTTTTGTCTAGATTAGTTTACAAACATTTCTTTAGTTCTACAGTATTTTTCAACCTTGTCTTAGTTTTCTTTTCAAGATGTTGAATGGTAGTATATTAAATTTAAGAACTTTCTCTAATTAAGAAGCACGTGGAGTCAAATATAAGGACATTTTCAACCATCCCGTGTATAAATAAAATTTAAATAATTATGAGCTGTTGAAAATGTCCTTATATTTTTATTTATGAGCTGTTGGGCATGAAAACACTTCAATAATTATTACATGTACGTAAAACTTGACCAAGTAATTTCTCTGCCCTTGAAAAGATGAGAAAATGTCAGCAATTTGCAAAAGGCATATAGATATGATTATATTTTCAGTTGTCTAACATTGATCTGATAAACATATGATCCAACTATGGTTGTTTTTGCCTCTTTATCTGCTCTCAAATACTACCTTGTTTTTCTTCTTATCATAATCATAATCCCGCTTGTTACTTCACTATCCTTCAATTTTGATAGTTTTAATCCAAATGATCAGAATGTAACATATGAGGAAGATGCTTTTTCAGCAAATGGAGTAATTCAACTCACCAAAAACCAGCTTGATCGTGGTTCAGGCGTCAGCATAGGTCGAGCCACATATTTCAAGACCCTGCATCTTTGGGACAAGGCTTCTGGAAATCTCACAGATTTCACTACTCATTTCTCCTTTAGCATCAATTCACAGGGCAGAACAGCTTATGGTGATGGTCTTGCCTTCTTCCTCGCGCCTGCAGGTTCAAGAATTCCTGAGAACACAACCATAGGTGGCAGCCTTGGCCTTACAATTGATACTCAGCAACTTAATACATCGAATAATCATTTTGTTGCTGTGGAGTTTGACACCTTTAACAACTGGTATGATCCACAGGGTGATCATGTAGGTATCGATATCAACTCTATGCAATCTGTTGTTAATTTGACCTGGTTTAGTAGCATTCCAAATGGTAATAGAACTGATGCCTGGATTAGCTATAACTCAACCTCGAAAAATCTTACTGTTGTCTTCACTGGTTTCAGAGCTAATTCCACTGTCACTGTCCAGCAAAGCCTATCTCACAATCTAGATTTGAGGGAATATTTACCAGAATGGGTCACTTTTGGCTTCACAGGTGCAACAGGAGACCTCTTTGCATTACAAAGCATCTCCTCTTGGAATTTTACTTCTTCTTTAGAAATTAATGACAACATAACAGATCCAGGGGTAGCCTTACCAATCCCAAAGCCAGAGGAGACTCCAAGCAAAAGTAAGTTACGACTTGTGATTGGATTGGTTTCTGGTGGTTGTGTTTTGGTTGCAGTATCTGTTTTGGTATTGTTTGTATTTTGGAGAAAGAGGAAGTTGAGAGAAGATGAAGATGATGATGATAGCTTTGATGGTTCCATGGCTGATGAATTTGAAAGAAGTACAGGACCAAAGAAGTTCCTCTACAGTGAGTTGGCTAGATGTACAAATAACTTTGCGCAGGAAGAGAAGCTTGGGGAGGGTGGATTCGGGGGTGTTTATAAAGGACATCTCAGGGAATCCAATTCCTATGTTGCTGTTAAAAGGGTTTCAAGGGGGTCAAGGCAAGGAATAAAAGAGTTCGCATCAGAAGTGAGGATCATTAGCCGGTTAAGACATAGACATTTGGTGCAACTCATTGGCTGGTGCCATGAGAAAAGAGAACTTCTACTTGTTTATGAGTTTATGCCTAATGGAAGCCTTGATTTCCATCTTTTCAAGGGAAAAAGCCATTTGACATGGCCAATAAGATACAAGATTGCTCAAGGCTTGGCCTCGGCCTTGCTATATCTACACGAAGAATGGGAGCAATGTGTGGTGCATAGGGACATAAAGTCAAGCAATATTATGTTGGATTCCAATTTCAATGCCAAACTTGGGGATTTTGGTTTAGCTAGACTAGTTGACCATGAAAAGGGATCCCAAACAACAGTTTTGGCAGGTACAATGGGCTACATGGCCCCCGAATGTGCCACCACTGGGAAAGCTAGCAAGGAAACAGATGTCTATAGCTTTGGTATCGTCGCCTTAGAAATAGCTTGTGGAAGAAGACCTATTGACCGTAAGGCTGAATCAGATCGTCAAGTAAATATTGTTGAGTGGGTTTGGAGCCTTTATGGGATGGGAAATATTAACGAATCAGCTGATCCTAAACTCTCATTAGAGTTCAATGAAATGGAGATGAAGCACTTGTTAATTGTTGGTTTATGGTGTGCTCATCCAGATAGCAATTGTAGGCCTTCTATTAGGCAAGCAATTCATGTCCTTAATTTTGAAGCTCCATTGCCCACCCTCCCTCCAAACATGCCTGTTCCAACATATTGCAGTCCATCACAGCATTTATCAAGTGCTTCATTTTCATCACCATATGACACCAACGCATCTCGGATTACTGAAATACAGTATTCAGTGAACAAAGACTACACTGATTCTTCAAATAACACAGCAGCTTCCGCAGCATCTTCACCTTCAGCATCACTTCTATACTCGCGTTGATATTGTCTTATAAGGAAATTTGTCTATAAATCCTTGCATTCAATCTTTCACTAGCTGGCTCCAACTTTTGCTCTTCTTAAACTTTATTGTTTCTCTTTTTATGAATATAAGATTGAATGAATCAACAATTCTAGTTCAAAGTTTCCATTAAATAGTGAAAATACTATGTTCTTAAAGACATGTCTCACTTGCGATCAATGGATGTATTCTAACTTTGATTAGAAGTTGAATTGGAGGGAAGAAAGAATGTTTCATTAATTTTTCCTTCATTTTAAACTGATCCATTTTAGAAGAATTTTTGAACTGAGCTTGTGCTAAGTATATTCTTCACCAAAATATTGATAGACATGGACTGTAGCTTAATTGCAGTCTGGACAGGACAAGATATTTGATTTGTCTGCTCGTGTCCTCTATCATTTATTTCCTCGCTCGCAAATAGAATAGAATTAATGAGTAATAACACTAAGTATATGCAAAAAGTGGAATCCTTTAACACCAGGAGAGAAATGAAAGACACAGTGAAAAAATTCAGAAAAATTGGAAAGATGACTTGAATGAAGAGACAAAATCTCTAGCTGGGAAAGACTCCTAATGCTCTCAGGCAATTGAACTGATTTCGAACGAGATATATCTCTCAGATGTGGAAAATTTGCAAAATCAGGGAATACATGGCCCAGAAATCTGGTTCATTGAAAGGTCTAAATAAACGGGGCTAGAATGCTGGCTGCAACATTCTACACTGAAGCCACTCAGTTAATTACTTTCAGTATCTATTCAGTAGGAGTTGAAAATCATGAAATATCAGGAAACAGACCACTTATCTTATTTCCAACCTAAAACAAGATACACCAAAATGATGTCATGTCTCCAAAAGCATCGGGTATGTCACTTTGCAGATTGTAATTATGCCGAAGCTCTACATGAGTAAGTCTGCTACTGAATTTAAAAACCCAAGTATATACTGAAGAAGGAGACAGATAATGAAGGACATATCAAGGCTAGAAAAGGGATGCATCGGCTAAGGAAAATGGAGAAGCAAGAGAACAAATTAATTGGCTGCTTTTTTTGAGATCAACATTATAAGTCAGGTCAAAGCATCTCAATGAAGGAAGATTTAAGATCCAATCAAGCTAGAGAAATTGCAACTGTGAAAGGTGCCGAATCTGATGAGTAATCAGACCAGAGAAATTAGCATAAGAAAGATTAAGATACTTTTAACTTGACGTGACGAAGAGAGTCTACCATAATCGTCTACAAGTATGTCTTTCAGATGAAGTAGAACTTGTCTTTCTTTATCCATGCACTTGAAACTTGAACATTTTATTAATACAAATATAAAAACTTTAAGTTTTGGGACCTATAGCATTTTTAGTCTAAACCAACAACAACAACAAACGTAATGACTCCCACAAGTTAGGTCTGGGAAGGATAAGATGTACGCAGACCTTACTCCTATCTTTGTGAAGGTAGATAGGTTATTTCCGATAGACAATCGGCACAATAGAATATGAGAAAGAAGCAATAGCAGCAAGCAGTACTTTTTTAGTCTAAACCAAATGCTTTAATTAATGGTCTTATCATTTAGCTGGCCATGAGTTAGAACAATGTAAAAAGCATACAAAATAGAAGTCTTTAATATGTCAATGGTCAACTACTTTTGCTTTTTGACTGTCGTCGGGACTGAAACAAGTCAAGTGAGCAATTTCCATCTCTTCTATCTAAAGACTAGAATAGGCTAAACATTTCTTAGGTCTACATATTTTTTAACCTGGTCTTTGCTAGTTTTTTTTTCTTTTCAGGACAGTGAATAGTAGTACTTTAAATTTACATTAATTTTGTTGTACCGAAACAAAATTTAAGAACTGCAAAAATTCTGAACATTTCTAGCATTTCAAGAGTGTTGGTATTCTCCACCTTAACGATTTTGTTTAGCTTCCATTTTCTTGTTGTATTTTTAAGACAGAGACAACATGTGATTGCTGCATTGCATAATTCAGAGTGGAATTAGATTGGAGAGAATGTCTTTTTTTTTTTTTTAATCTTTATACGCTTCTTAAAAGGGAACAGAACAGAACCTTCTCAAATAAAAGGGAATGGAATGTGAGATTCCGACTTCCACAACAGTATAAGTCCAACATACAAACTGTACTAACAATTATCACTAAATGTAGGTTCTGCTAAAACAACATGTAATCTTACTATATTCCTCCCATTGAAGTTCAAAATTTCTCATTTCCTTTTGAGTAAATTAGGAAAGGTGTGGGGGTGGTGGGGTAAGTCAATTATAATTCACCTGTGAAAAAAATAAATAATGTTTCTTGCTTCCTATAAGAGGGAAGGAAAGTCAGTCTTAGGACCTTTTCAACTACCCTGTGTTTAAAAATTTACTAGCTTTGATATGATCTGTTGAAAATGAATACATCTCAATAAATTTATGGATGTAAAACTTGACGAAATCATTAGTTTTGCACTTGAAAAGATGAGAAAATGAGAAAGATCTACCATAGGCATATAGATAGATGATTATCTTCAGTTTTCTAAAAAACTAATAAATATTTTGTCCAACTATGGGTGCTTTTGCATATCTATTTGCTGTCAAATTCCTTGTCTTTCCCCTTATGGTAATCCCTTTTGCCACTTCACTGTCCTTCAGTTTTGATCACTTTACTTCCAATATTGATCAGAATATTACAACAACAAACCCAGTGTAATTCTATACGTGGGGTCTGGGGAGGGTAGTGTGTACGCAGACCTTACTCCTATCTTTAAGAAGGCAGAGAGACTGTTTCTGGAAGACCCTCGGCTTAGGAAAGGTAAAAGGAAGGGAAACAACAAGCACACCAATTAGAAAACCAAAGCAAAAATACAAAACTAAATACACTAGATACTGCAATCAGAAAGCCGAAACGAAAGCAACAACAAGTAATCACAGAAGTCAAGAGACACGAAAATACACAAATAACACTAAATCATGTAACTAAAGCTACTGTTACACACAAGGATAACGCTCGGCTACTTATCATAACCGTTCACCTTTATTTTCAACCTCCACACCCTCCTATCCATGTCCATGTCCTCAGTAAGCTGGACCAATGCCATATCTTGCCTAATCACCTCTCCCAATACTTCTTTGGTCTGTCTCTACCTCTCCTTAGGCCCTCTAGGGCCAACCTCTCATACTTCCTCATTGGTGTATATGTGCCTCTCTTCTTCACATGCCCGAACCATCTAAGTCTCACCTCCCGCATCTCGTTCTCCACCAAGGTCATGCCTACCTTGTCCCAAATAACTTCATTTCTAATTCATCTAACCTGGTATGCCCGCACATCCATCTCAACATCCTCATTTCAGCCACCTTCATCTTTTGGACATGGGAGTTCTTGATTGACCAATACTCCGCCACATACAACATAGTCTGTCTGACCGCGGCTCCGTAGAACTTATCTTTAAGTTATGATGGCACATTCTTACATATGATGCTTATCCAGCAAATGGTGCAATTCAACTTGCCACATACTCGAAACCACTGCATCTTTGGGACAAGGCCTCTGGAAATGTCACAGATTTCACTACTCACTTCTCCTTTAGCATCAACTCACAGGGAAGAACAAGTTATGGTGATGGTCTTGCCTTCTTCCTTGCACCTGCAGGTTCAAGAATTCTTTATGACAGTGCAGGTGACAACCTTGGCCTTTCTACGATAAGTCAGCAACTGAATACATCGAATAATCATTTTGTTGCTGTGGAGTTTGACACCTTTCAGAATGTCGAGTACAACCCGATGGATGATCACGTAGGTATTAATATCAAGTCTATGCAATCTGTTATTAATGTAACCTGGTTTAGTAGCATTCCAGCTGGTAAGAGAACTGATGTCTGGATTAAGTATAATTCAACATCAGAAAATCTTACTGTTGTCTTTACTGGTTTCAAAGATAATTCTACTGTCACTGTCATGCAGAGCCTATCTTACAATCATGATCCGAGAGAATATTTGCCAGAATGGGTCATTTTTGGCTTCACAGGTGCAACAGGAGACTTCTTTGCACTAAAAAGCATCTATTCTTGGATTTTTTCTGCTTCTTTAGAAGATAATGACAGCTGCAGATCCATGGGTAGCCCTACCAAACCCCAAGCCAAAGCATGCACAAAGAAAAAACAAGTTAAGACTTGTGGTTGGATTAGTTTCTGGCGGTAGTCTTTTAGTTGCAGTATGTATCTTGATGTTATTTGCATTTTGGAGAAAGAAAAAGGTGATAGAAGGTGAAGGTAATGATATCTTTAATGGTTCAATGACTGTTGAATTTGAAAGAAGCACAGGACCACTTATCAAAAAAAAAAAAAAAAAAAAAAAAAAAACAACAGGACCAAAAGAGTTCCGTTATATTGAGTTGGCTAGATGTACAAATAACTTTGCGCAGGAAAAAAGTTCGGGGAGGGTGGATTCGGGGGTGTTTATAAAGGACATCTCAGGGAATTGAATTCCTATATTGCTGTTAAGAGGGTTTCAAGGGAGTCAAAGCAAGGAATAAAAGAATATGCACCAGAAGTGAGGATCATCAGCCGTTTAGACATAGACATCTGGTGCAACTCATTGGCTGGTGCCATGAGAAAAGAGAACTTCTACTTGTCTATGAGTTTATGGCTAATGGGAGCTTAGATTCCTTTCTTTTCAAGGGAAAAAGCCATTTCACATGGCCACTGAGATACAAGATTGCTCAAGGCTTGGCCTCTGGATTGCTATATCCACACGAAGGATGGGAATAATATGTGCTGCATACGGGCATAAATTCAAGTAATGTTATGTTGGATTCCAACTTCAATGCCAAACTTGGGGATTTTGGGTTAGCTAGACTGGTTGACCATGAAAAGGGATTCCAAACAACAGTTTTGGCTGGTACTATGGGTTACATGGCCCCCGAATGTCACATCACTAGCAAAGCTAGCAAGGAAACAGATGTCTATAGTTTTGGTGTTGTAGCATTAGAAATAGCTAGTGGAAGAAAACCTATTGATCCTACAGCTGAAGATCATCAAGTAAACATTGTTAATTGGGTTTGGAGACTTTATGGGGTGGGAAATCTTCATGAAGCAGTTGACCCTAAACTCTCATCAGAGTTCAATGAGCCGGATATGGAGCACTTGCTAATTGTTGGCTTATGGTGTGCTCATCCGGAAAGCAATTGCAGGCCTTCTATTAGGCAAGCAATTCATGTCCTTAATTTTGAAGCTCCATTGCCCGTGCTCCCTCCAAACATGCTTGTGCCAACATATTGCTATCCTTGTCAACTTCTATATTATCAAAATATTGTACTAATTAAACTATTATATTATGTTATTTATAAAAATGTTGATAGACATGATCAGTATTTTAATTGCAGTCTGGACAGGAGATGAAATTTGATGACATGGATATATTCAAAAAGTGGAATCCTCAAAAACTAACTATATTTGAAGACCAATCAAATAAAAACCTGCTTAATCAATTGGCTAGTACACATTGTAGAGTATCTACTCTGAAGTCTTA